ATATGAAAAAAGCACTCCAAAAATCCGTACATCTTGACGCAGAGCTAAATATCCGTACGTTGAATCCGTACGACCATTTTTAACCCTGCAAATACTTACCGTACGAAAAAAATCCGTACTTCTGACAGGGCTGGGAATCGCACGTATTGAAAGTTGCGGTAACCGTGTACGCACTGTAAATATTTTTGATCGGACAAAATGAAATTAAGTTACGAGCAATTATAAGGGTCAACCTATGAAAGCCCAGAGTTTGAAGGGGTATTAAAATTCTAAGTATTCATATTTTTTGTGCTTCATTAAATCTATAACTTTAGTAGTCACACAGTGTTATTATCCCGACGACATCCTTGACGGTGGTACCAGGGGGGAAACCGTACATAACGGTAGAAGGTTTATTTTCGGTTAAAGTCTAACACTGATAACTTAGTTATTAAAACCGACGAATAGTTTTATATCAACTTCTGTGTACTTCTATTTTTGTGTTTTCGTACAACATACCTCTATTAGTTAGAATAATTTTAATTTTAATTTTGTGTGTCCCAGATGCTTTTGCTCAAGCGAGGATTGGACCAGACCTATCAGTAATGTATGTATTGTCTGGGAAAAGATTCAGTTGGTTATTTTTATGTAACTTGCTGACTTTAGCCTTTACAAATTGGGCAGCTATGGGAACATCGTACTTTCTCGCAAAACAAAACCATTTGAGTAAATCCTTTTTTGGTACTCACACCGTTTTAAAGTTTGCCGTTTCCCAAGTCCGGCTTCTATATTTTACAACGCTTTTATCAACTTGCAATGTAGTGTGTCCAGACCACAATTTATACTAGCCGTCATCGATTCGCCACTTCGCTGCTCGCTATGTTTGAGTTCCGGTCGCTTAACGAAAAATTTGCATGTGAAAGCAACAACAAAGTTAGCTGGCAAATATGGACGATAGCGAGTTTGGTTATACCTCATTAATTCGCCATCTTCTCGCCGGACTCAATGTTTCCAAGTTTTTCCGAGGATATTAGACGAGTTTTACTATTGTGAATAGTTGAAATGTGAACTGTCAAGCGGTACAAACGAAAAATTGTTATACAAATAACAATGGCAACGGAGGACAAATCGTAACTAATTGATTGTGGTATTTCTAAATATTTATTACTACAAACTAATAAAATTGTTTTGCAGAAAACGGAACGTGTGGACCGTAGTAGAAATCAAGGGATTGCTGAAATGCTACTTGGCAAGAAAGGAGGAGTTCCTACATGCGAGAAAAAAGCGAAATGCTTATGCCCACGTCTTGGAAGACATGGTGGTTTCACCGTAAGTTTGAAGTGTAATTTTGGATTGTACAAATCTAAACAAAAAAAAATTATCTAGGATCCATCGACGACCCCAGTAGCCTTAGAAGGAAAGATGCGCACTCTGTTGTCTGCATACAAGTGTGCAAAAGACAACGCAAGCAGAACCGGTGCCGCACCATGCATTGCTCCGAACATGGATGAGATGGAGGAGATTTTCGGATACAGTGCGCTGCTTTCCAATAACCACACGCTTAATGTGGGTCGTTGTCGAGCACAACCAGTTGGAACGCCACCACCACCTCAACAGGCAGATTCCCCACAACCAGCACTACCCTCACGTCCGATAGCATCATTTTCACAGCCCCCACTGCCCCACCGTCCAACAGCACAGCCATCAAGATCCCTGCTGCTAGCACCACCCCCAAGTCCAGCAGCATCAGCACACCCAGCAAGATCCCTACTCCTAGTACCGTCCCAACGTCCAGCAGTTTCACATACAGCATCAGCACTATCTGCGTACCCAACAACATCCCCACTTCTACGAGCATCTCAACACCCAACAACATCCCACCTTGCAGCAGCATCCCCATACACAGAACTATGTCCGCAACCAATATCCCCACAACCGGCTGTTTCGCCGTCCCCACCTACATCCCCACATCCTGAATCATCTCAACAACCACCATCCCAAGAAGCAGAATCGCCACAACCAGTAACATCAAAACGTCGCAGGAAAACAGCTCGAGAAAGATATTACGAGGAAAAACTTATATTAAAAGAAAGGAAGTTAGAGGAGAAGAAAAGATTCCACGATTCGGTAGTGAAAATGATGAGAGAAGTAGAAATGAAAAAAACTTGAACTACTTAAAAATTTAAACAAATGATTTTTTTTTTTGAGATTAATTTAATTATGCATTTTGATTTTTATTTACCTTAAGTATTTTTTCCAATGAATGTGATATTTTTCTTTTATTTAACTTAATAAAATGGATTTTTTATTAAATTTAAGACAGAAAATTTTGGGTACTTTTTCTTAAATCAAATTATGCTCCTGCAAATATTCGAACAATAAATCTCGTCTATTCCCATTTGCATGGTAATTGTCTTCAATAGGTTCATCTTGCAAATTGTATTCCGACATTTCGTTCTGAACAAATCCAATATTTAAATCATCAAATATTATACATATATTGTGTAGAATACACGCACTAACATTTATATTGAGAACAAAACATAAATTTGTTTGCTCAGTAAAATGTAGTAACCTTCTAAAGCGAGTTTTTAATAAGCCGAAAGCGTTTTCCACAACTATTCGAGTAGAAGAGTGTAATTTGTTGAAGTTTCTTTGCGATTCCCTCAAATTGCCGTAGTCCTTAAATGGAGGTACCAACCAACTTGTAGCGGGGTAAGCCGAATCACCCAAAATGAATGAGTCATTCGGAAATAAACTTTCAGGTTCAGACTGCGCTGTAGCAAAAAGATTTGACCTACGAAGAACTCTACTG